ATGATAAGAGGAGCATTATAGGCTTCATCGTGATCAGACGTAAACTCGGGGTTGGAAGTTCTTTTAGTTAAACATGGGTTAACGCTGGGTGAGTAGATATTTGAGGGGGAGACAGAGGCAAAGCGTTGCGCAAATGTGTTGGCGACCTCATGTGGATCGGTTACAATGTCGTTTCCTCTCGCAAGCTGTGGGAAGGCACATACGTGATTTCGGCGAGAGGCAAACGAGCGGACATGCTATAAAAATTTACTTAACGGCGTAAAGCGCTTGCACGTCGAAGCAAAATCCCGCCACGCCGATTGATTTTCTCGACGCAAGGTGTCAGAACACGCTTTGCGCGCTTTTGTATAAAATTCCGCATGATGGGCGCCAATGCATTCTTGAAAATCTCTAGGTGCCCTGCGTCGAAGTGCATTTGCCCATTGACAACGCCAGTTCCACCATGAAGCGTTTCCAGTCCGATCAGGTCTGGAACCTCCTGAAATGTTTCGGCTGATAACATTTAGCGGCTGAGTGGACGGCATTGGGGAAATCTGGTACGGTTGTTTTGAAATCGTATGGAACATGCCGGGTGACAGCTATTAAAGGATTCCCAGTCAACACCATTTGTACACCATTTCTTTGTGGAAGGCGGAGGTAGGAGTGCAGTCGCACGCGTAAGAACAAGATGGAGAGGAAAGTGGTCAGAAAATAACAGGCCACTAGTTACAATCCACTGGAATAAGAGAGCGACACGGTGTGACACAATGGACAAGTCTATGGCTGAGGTGGTGTGGTAACTGGAACTCCTAAGCATGTGTGTGCCACCATTGGGGTATACCAGCGAATGTTTGTTGACCACGGTTTTCATCTGGGATCCCCGTGGAGACAAATGTTGGCTTCGGGCCCAGAGCGGATTGTGGGCGCCAAAATCACTAAGCATCAGGCAATTGGCAGGCATTTGTGAGAACAAATAATCAGGAGTGGATTGTGTAATGAGCCGAGAGTTGGGAGGTAAGAATGCAGACAATATCAACACAGATTGGAAAAGTTTCACAGTAACCGCCACGAAGTTCAGCTGGGTTTGAAGAAAAGTGTGTCGCTGGAGAACCGAATTTCATGCATAAACCGCCACGCCACCCTGACGCGCTTCAGAATTTATGCTATTCTGCTAGAGAGTTTATCCGGGAACCTTAAAGTTGTACGAATCTGAGTCACGGAAAAGGCTTCTTGTAGTGCAGCGACCAGGGGAGAAAATTAATTCATATGTTGTTCAAATTCGGCACAATGCTACAAAAGATCTTCAACATTTCATTGAAGTAGGAACGCCATTTCTTTATGTGACATGACGCGGGTCTGGTTAGGCAGGAGAGGAGGACCCTGGAATAAACGCACGTCTTGTGTGTGTGGGCTGCGTACGATACCCCCGGTTCTTGCCCTCATAGGCTGATGCACTACGTAAGCGGAAGCTTCGTCGCTGTGTAGGAAGCGTGGTGGGGGGGGGGGGGAGTCTGGGTCCGTTTCCGGGGATGGCGCCCGTGGAGACCTGACGGCCCGGGCAAAAGGAGGGACTTCACTTTGTCGTGTGAGCACACTGGGATGGAGTCATCCGAGTCAACCTCAGACACCGCCTGGCTGCGGCGGTCTGCTGATACTGGTGACCCAGCCTCATCTCGGATCATGATATCAGTGTCAGTGGGCTCTTGGCACGCAGCCAGGGTAACCTCTGCCACCGCGGAGGTTGTCGGGAGTGGACTCCTTGTACCCTCCAGACCACTATTATCCCTGTAATCGCTGTTGCCTGAGATGAAGCCTGACTGACGGCGTTTGCGTCGTCTACGCTCGGTGAAGGCGTTTCGCTCGGGTCAGCTCGGGCGGCGGTTGACTTGTGGATGTAGGTGGTGACGGGGTTTTCAGCAGGTCACTTTTGGCGCTGGTGGTCTGTGACGCTCTGGGCAGCGGCTTACTGCCCGTCGTGCGTGGCGGCGGCGGCCCCCATGTACCGTTCCCAGCCACGGATAGCGTCCCTGGCGGGGGTGGCTGCTGACGGTTTGTACGAGGGGTGAGTGGGTTCCTGGTGGGTCACACGCAGCTCGCCGCGCTGGGAGTGCCGGCACTCCTCCAGCCCAAACCCAGGAGGGGTCACCCGGGCGCTGCGGCTCGCAGCGTCTCAAGTTTCTCCTTCCAGACCGGGCACGCAAGATCGGTCACCGGGTACGGGCCCTGACATGTCGCACAGCGTGGAGGGGGGGGGGGGGGGAGGGGGCATCGCTCGGAAGGGTGCTCCCCGGCACAGCGTGCACATCTCTGCGAGCGAGCCCCGCGCATGCCCTTGACATGCCCACATCGTAGGCACTGACTACAGCGGCGGGGCAGCGGGGTGTACCGGCGGACCTCATGCCGCGTGTAGGCTGCGTGCAGATGCGCGGGGAGTTGCAGCCGTCCGAAACGGACCATTAGCGGGGGGTTGGGGCGCGCAGTTCTCGACGGGGAACGGGTCACTGCCGCTACTCCCTGCGGCGCACTCTCCTCCAGGATTTTCCTCGCAGAGTCCCCCGCCATGCCCGGTGCGTAGACTACCCCTTCCACCTGGTTTAATTTGTCTGCTGGGGTGACTCACACCTCTCAGCCCCCGAAAGATGGTCGTGCCAAGAGGGATCGAGTTTGACCGACATCAATGGTTTTCAGGAGGGCGCCGCTCCTCACTGCCGCGGCCTGAGCTACACTCCCTTCCAGAAGATCGTGAATTCGTCTCGAATCTTGTAGGGGCTGACGTTCCTGAAGGACTCGGTGGTATAAAAAAATCTTACCAGGAGGAACGCCGTCCCCGTCGGGATCCAACTACATTCCGCTGTCGCAGAAGATGCGTTGTCCTTGGTCGACACCGTGAATCCGCCCACTCCGTCGTTGCCTTGGGCTACGGAGTAACACCCACGAAGGAACGCAACGGACGAAAGTGTCGGCATACGAAAAACAGTCACGTAGAATACGAAAAGCACATGAAACTTGCATCTAAGGAACTATCACGCAGCAGAAACAAAGGTGCCACAGCTCTGAAAGGCACTCCAACACCACATGTTCTAGAAGCGGAGATAACAGGATGAAAACGAAGCGGCGAGTACTGCACATTCTTACGCTACCAGATCGCAATGGAGAGACTTGAAAGCAATATTACTTCGCCGCCATCCATGCAGCGAAGTCCATGCTTCGAAACCTCCCTACTGATTTTCTCCAAGTCCACCGATCGAAAACGAGTCTGCGCTTTTTGGTGGTCGCTCTGAAACTGACGATCTCAGGTCACCATCTTTCTATTTTTCCACCATTTCCACCATTTGCTTTCAAAAACCGCATAAATCACCCTGGCGCACTACAAACAAGTCCGAACTCTAAACCGCTCAACTGATCTGTCCCGAACCTTTACCAACAGACACCACATACGATTTCATCAGCTGCTCTGAAATCGGTGACCGCAGGTCATCATCATTACCTTCCATGACCGTATAAACCATTCTGGAGCATTGCGGTCAAGTCCAAACTCGAAAACCGCTCGAATAATCTTCCTAGGACCTTTGGCAACCGATGGAGCATATGCGATTTCATCTATAATTCGAAAACTGGTGACCCCAGGTCACAATCTTTACCTTCATCTACCGTACAAACCACTCCGCACGTCCCAGCCAAGTCCAAACTTGAAAACCGCTCACTGGATTTTTCCGGGACTTTCACCAGAAGATAGAACGCAAAGATCTTTATCAGTCGTTCTGAAACTGGTGTCTGGTGAAACTGGGCAGATGGGTTGAGATGTTTCTAAGTTTGGGCTTCACCGCAATGTCTCCGTGGCCTTTACAGTTCTTAAAGGTGTGGATGGTGGCCTCAGGCATCCTGTTTCAGATCGGACACGAAACCACATGATGGCTTTCGATTGGGTTTGGTCTGGAGAAAATCCGTCCAGCGGTTGCGGAGTTTGAACATGGCTGCATGGAATACAGTGAAGAAGTGTTGTCCGCGGTTGAAAGATGCAACGTTAAGTATCACGTCCATGACGTCACGTTAATAAATATTCAGCACCCGCAATCACGGACAGTGATTGATAGAGGTAGGGGGTTATATCCCCGCAAAATGAACTTGAATCATGGTTGTGCAATACAAATACTAGGCAAGCATCGCGTTCCTGCCACTCCCGTGTGGTCTTTCGGAGCAGCCCACTGTGCGGAGCATGGACAAGGCCTCATATACGGCATAGCACGTGCTTCAGAACCATTTCGCAGCTTGAACGGGGAACGAGGGATCATGTTCTGCACTTATCGTAAAACATTAACATCAAGAGTATCGTGTTGCATGAAAGTGATTGACCCCAACTCATCACATCTGCAACCTCGAGAACCCAATGAATCACACGCGTGGTCTTTCTCACGTCCGAAACCACACAACTCAGACGTGGTGACAGGGAGTTGAGGCGACCAACTACCGAGCCAACATAGGCTTGGAAGGGCTGACAAAAAGGTCTGGAAGTTCCTTAGCGCGGGGAAACAGCGTGAAGCCCAGCCACCTGCCGCTTGCGGACATTGCTGAGACCATGGTTGGCTGATCACGCGCTGCAAACGAATGGAGAGTCGTGCGCGTAGAGCTTCATCACTAGGCATGTCCACTCACCTACCTCTGAGGGTTTCATCGCTGTCACACTACGAAGGCACTGTGCCTGAAACACCAAATGTCGGACAAATTTATTACAAGAACAGGAATCATCAGATACTAAGTTCACAGCGGTACCGACGACACACGCACACATCGATAGGATGCCCATACTGGCTGGTCACCCAGGACGCCTCCGTTACGAACGAGCACCTATACGCCAGGCCCAAAACTCGCTGCACATCGCTGGAAACGTAATACAGACGAGAAAAACGAGCCGCCGCTCATCGCTCACGCAGTCCGCCAAACACGATGAAATGGAAGGAGCGCACGTGTACCAAGGCGTGGTCACGAGAGGGGGGCGATACGGAGCCGGGCGTGCGCCGGCGCTAGCGTCGCTTCCTGGTGGGCGTGGGTCGCTCGTCGCCGGACCGCTTGCGCTTCAGGTCGTCGCGAGACGACTCGCGCGTCTCCCGTCGCTGGCTCGTCTGCTTGTCGGCCAGCAGCAGCATCTGGATCTTCTCCACGCACTCGGCCTGCATCTCGCGCGCGAACCGGTGCACCTCGTGGTCGCTGGAGTTGAACATCATGGCGTTGCAGAACATCAGCATCAGATCGCGCTGGAACTGCAGCGTCGTGTTCACCGTGCCGGCCTCCACGTTGCGCTTCATCTGCGCCAGGTCCATGGGGTGTTTCACGATCTCGCGGTAGTTGGTCGCCTGGTCGTTGGTGATGGGCCGCGCGAACATCGAGGCGTGCCGATGCGCCGTGAACTCGCGCCACAGGATTAGGATCGACTTCTTCCAGATCCGATAGTCGCGTCGCTCTTCGGCGTCGTCGCCGCTGAGCACAGCCGACGCTGGGCTGTTGGGCACGGACTCGGCCTGCGCTGCAGCGGCACCGGCACCAGCCGAGCCACTGCGCTGCCGCGACCCGCTCGACTCAGCCTCCCACTCGTCACGCTCCTCCTTGACGACCGGCAGCGGCGGCTCGGCCGACTTCTGCGGCGGCGCGGCCTCCTGTGCGCCACCCTCGGTGCCCGGCTCCTGCTTGATGACGGGGGCCGGCTCGGACGGCACGGCCGGGCCATCTCCGCCGGGGCCGCTGGCAGCGGCCGGCTCCGGCTCCGGCTCCGGCTCGGCCGCCGGCGGCTCTGGCTCGTCGGCGGGCGGCGGTGGCGGAAGCAATGGCGGTGGTGGTGGTGGCGGCGGGGGGTGGTGGAGGCGGTGGTGGCGGCGGCGGCGGGCAGGCGGCCGCCTCGACCTCTTCCGCCTGCGTGGCCTGCTCAGCCGGCGCCTCCGGAGCGGCAGCAGGCAACTCCTGCGCCGGCTCCGCGTGCACGTCGGCCACCGCGTCACCCTGCTCAGCCGACTCAGGCGGCGCCGGCTCGGACTCCACCTCCATCTCAGCGGCCACAGCTGGCTGCGAGGCCTCTGGCGGCGGCAGTGGTGGCGGCGGCGGTGGCGGCAGCCGCGGAGATGGCGGGTCGGCCACCTTCTCTGCGGCCGGTTTCTCCGCCGCGGTCGCTTCGCCGTCGCGGGCCGCCTGGTCGGGGAACAGGTTGAGCCGTGGCAGCGGATAGCCCGGCGCGGCCGGCGGCAGCTCCAGCAGCCGTGAGAGCGTGGGCGAGCCGGCGGAGGACGCTGGCGGGCCCGGCTCGGCTGTCGCCGCTGCCGCCGCAGTCGCCGGTCGCGCGCCACCCGAGGGCGAGCGGAGCAGCGAGGTGAGCAGCGGGCAAGAGGGCGCCGGGCGTGAGTCGGCGCCCTCCCTGCTCGCCTCGTCGCCGCTGGCCTCGGCCGCCACCGCGTCCGAGGCGGCGCTGTCTTCTGCGAACTCGGGCTCGGACGCCGAGCCGGCCTCGGAGAGGCTGCTATCGCGCCGCTCTGGCGTCAGCTTGCGCCGCTTCGGCGGGGGCGCCTTGGTCACCTGCGCTCGCAGCGCTTGCTGCACGGCCACCTTCTGCGCCTCGCGCTCGGCCAACCGCTGGCGGCGGCGCTCCTCCTCCAGTGCAGCCGCCTCCTTCTCGGCCTGGATCTGGCGCTGGATGTCGTCCAGCTGTGAGTCCAGCTGGCCAGAGCGCAGCTGGCTGATCTGCTGCTTGAGCGCCAGGTAGGCGGCCCGTTTCTCGGCAACCAGGCGGCGCAGTTCTTCGGTCCGGTCCTGGCGCAGCCGCCGCACGATGTGCTCCCCCGGCGTCTCGTTCGGCTCGCCGCGCTCGCGCTTCCGCTTGGGCGCGTCCACCAGCTCGAGGAGGCGCGCGTACTGCTGCGCGCAGTTCTTCTGCGAGAGCCAGTCGGATGGACGGCCGGCGTCGGCGAAGCCACGCATGGCGCGGCTCACCGACACCCAGTTCTGGTCGCCGCTGCGCAGCACGGCAGACGCCAGCGCCAGGTGCTCGCGCGTCGACCACGTGTCGAGCGGGGTCTGCTTCAGGGCCAGGCGGGACGGCGTGCCGGCAGCCATGGCGGTGCGGTGGTGATTGGCTGGAACAGAGGACACGTGCCATTGTCAGGTGTGGCCTACTGCCAGATGACTGACCAGTTGAAGGCAGGGTGCATGTGGAGATGTAGTCCAAATAGGACACTAGACTGTAATGCACTCTTGTCACTATTGATATTTATTTTTGTGCTGTTGTTGACTGGAGTTTTAGGGTGTGCCGACTACTGTGATCATTTTGCACCCATTCATTTTGTGTGTCACTGCTTGTACACTGTTTGGTAAGTGATCACCACAAAAACTAAGTGGATGAGGAGTTTTACACCAGTGCATGACTAGGCAAAACAAGTGTTTGCTGTAGTACATATGCCAAGGTTCCAAATTTCCTGGCTGTAGGGTATGAGGGCTTATGGGAACAGGTAGAAGATTCACAAATCAAAGTTCCGAGCTTTATGGAAGTGTTTGTATGGGTATACTAGCCAGCTTAGTGAAAACATCAGCAGCATTTTAAAATTTTCTGATGCACTGATGATGACTTGCAATGACACCTTAAATGATGCATAACTTCATAAAAGGCCTGTCAACCCTGGCTTATTGCCATTTGTCCATTCTGTCAGACCAATGAGTACAGCTGAAGCTCCCTGTCATAATATTCACACTAACCAATACAAATGAATGTATTTCAATCAATGAGTCCATCAAGCTCTTGTCTTGTTGATTTATTAATAATGCTTTGATCCTAAATATGTCCATATTAAGTTGCATGATTTATCATACATAAATCACGTGATGCATATTAGTAAAAAAGCATCAGCAAGACTTGTCATGTCCCTATTTGTTAAATTTTTGCCATCATAAAGAAATAAAAGGCCTTTACCCATGCCAAATTTATGATTGTAAATTTCATCTGTTTCCATTAAGGCAATACTTTTCTGGCACAAACCAGATATGTACCTTATGTTGGGTTTGGATCTAAAGGTTTCCACTTCATTGTTTATCACTGACATCTTAACACGAAGTTGTAGATGGTGTGTATGTGGCAATGTGCAAGATGTATGCCAAGTGTATGCCAAGGGTCTCTACTTAATGTTTACCATTAATTCTTCAATGTGAGATTAATAATTTTAAGCTGCAAATACAAGAACTAAAAATAACATTATCAACATAGCCAATACTGACATTCTGACACACCAACTTTGCCTTGTAACCATCTATTTCTTGGAAAACTAATATTATGGATGATAATATTAGTTTTCACACAACACACAAATCTAACAGGCTGCTGGAAGAGCACACCAACAATTTCAGTGACGCTGTACATGACTCCAAGACGGTGGGATTGGGGGGTTAGGGGGCACACCAAATCGCATAACCTCTCGAAATTCTTGCATCACACCCACAATGTTGCAACTTGCAAGGAAATAAGCGCCTTCCAAAACAGCGGGCAAGTTGCGCTGCAATACTGAACAAGCTATTACAATGAGCAAAAGAGATAATGCAAATTACCTTCGACAGCTATTGAAGGTTGATTGGTCGACTTGATTTTTGTAACGAGTTTTTGCCACGGCTTTCCAAGATACTTAACGACTCCACCGCCAACACGCGCATCCGCGCGTCTGCGCGCTATTCCAATATGAGACGATACTAGCGCAGATGGTGCGGCTGAAGACGAGCTACCAGAATTTGGACTCACGATTCAATCCGGACTGACTGAAGCGGGAATTTGATTTGGAGCTCTTGCGTTAGCGAGTACGTTAGGTGGGGTGGGGGTACTTGTCTCTAATTTTTGGGGAAATGCAATGTGGGATAGATAAGGAGGCAATTCAATTGCCAAGGGTAGTGTCAGTTGTTCAGTGCATTAGCGGGAACCACTTACCGCCACTACTCATACGTAGATGTACACAGGCGAACGCATATCCTCCAACATCACATCAAAATAAAACGTAATGTTTTCTTTGCTTATTAGTGTGGCTAATGCTGAAGTGGCTAAGATTGTTTCCTTTGCATACCGCGCCTCGTTCCTGGCTTGCATTTGGAACAAATGGTTCTCTTATCCAAGCTCAGTCCTTCGGCAGCAGGCAAGCAGGCGAGAACACTCGTAACAACACAGGTATGCAAAGCATTGGACGCTTGAGCAACAACTTCTGATTCATCACGAGGACGCGTGCGACATCTCGTCTGATTCTGGTCGCGTTGCTCCTCACTACCAGTCGGTGTTCTTTTTTTATTACTTTTTTTCGCCAAGCCGCGGTCATAACATTGGGTACCTTGCGCCTGGTGCCGCTGCTCGGTGCGGTGTGTCAGCAACACTGACAGTCAGACAGTCACGGTGTGGTGCCGTTGCCCAGTACGGTGTGTCAGCGACACCGACAGTCAGACAGTCACGGTGTGGTGCCGCTGCCCAGTGCGGTGTGTCAGCGACACCGACAGTCAGACAGTCACGGTATGGTGCCGCTGCCCAGTGCGGTGTGTCAGCGACACCGTCAGTCAGGCAGTCACGGTGTGGTGCTGCTGCCCAGTGCGGTGTGTCAGCGACACCGACAATCGGACAGTCACGGTGTGGTGCCGCTGCCTCGTGCGGTGTGTCAGTGACACCGACAGTCAGACAGTCACGGTGTGGTGTCGCTGCCCCGTGCGGTGTCAGCGACACCGACAGTCAGACAGTCACGGTGGCTCTCTGACCGACAGTCAGACAGTCACGGTGGCCCTCTGACCGACAGTCAGACAGTCACGGTGGCCCTCTGACTGGCAGTCAGACAGTCACGGTGGCCCTCTGACCATGGCGTTGCGGCGCCACGAGCCGAGCAAAAATAGCAACATTTGAGCCAGAGTTCGGCCACTGGGGGCTTCCGCATATTGGGAATATTGGTGTGTCTATATAGAATGTGCAGTATTACTAGTTTGCACAAAGCCTTAAGCAGTTGTAAAATTGGTAATATTGATCGGCAGAAAAGTTAAGAATTGAAAGCAGATGCAGTTATTTAGGAAATGCTGCAAAACTTCTCAATTCTGTATTGCATTTGATTGCCTTTAACGTGCATCGCCTGTGACGGTTGACAGCAGCTGCGCTGAAGGTCAGGTGACGTCAGAGGGCAGGACCGACCATGCCGAACAGCACTGCACGTTAGACTTACGCCACCAAATGCTGCCGTTGACATGGTTTTGCTCTATCAGACGGTAGGAGTGAGGGTTCACACAACAGCCAGTGCTTATCGTGAGATGTGATCCCAGATTTTCATTCATTTAAAAGGTTCTGATTAACTCTAAAACGACGCCATAGAGCCCACATTCAAACACTCCGACCAGTTTCAAAAGAAAACTGGGGAGCGTGGCCTTGGACGGGTGCAAAAGGCCATCCGTAAATAGCTCGAAAAGATGGTGGACAACAAATGATGGATGGTGTACAGATGTTGAACAGCAGTTGAGTGTGGCGTAAAGCACCAAACACCCCAAATAGCTTTACCGTTAGCATGAATGTGAATCACACGATTTCCGTGGTTTGTAAGCTTTGTTTGCAAGTGTGACACAATGCGATCCCAAATGATTGATTAGGGTGATAAAATAAGCATTTAAATATGAGTTTGTATCAGGCTCAAAATTCGCTCTGCTTCTAGGCATGATGGAGTTGGCATGCTTCTGGGCATGACTAACGACAACGGCATTTCGAGAGCTGTTGTACTAATTGATTACCTTAAGGTTTTAGATTGAGTAAGTTTATATTTCTCAATTCGTGTACATGTAGCATCGACTTTGGACACTACCTTACATCCTGATTTTATGGAATTATTATGATTGTGATAACTTAGTGAAGAGATGCCCGTTGCACTAACCGTCGTTTGCACTGTGGCTAGAGGCTTTAGCAAAGCCAGTAAGAAGTCCGACGTTAATGAAAGACATTCAAGTTGGGGACGGCGAGGTCGAAGTATTTCTTCGTGTAGGCCTCGGCACCAACACATACTCAGGGGAAGAGCCGCATTTATAGTCAGAAACTTTTAAATTGTCCGGGCTCTTTTACAAAGTTTCCGGTATACAGCCAAATTTAAAACAGACTGACGATGCATGGGCCATGTTTTAAACTAGCTTTGTGTTATTTCATGTGTCCTGAGTATGGATTGCAGTGGCTCAAAGCTTCAACTCGATTGTGGGCACCCAGCCGCTAGTAAGCAGCGAGATGATTAGAAACACAGTTATCCAGCTAAGACAAAAGGAATCTAATACAGCATATCGCGACGGCTGACACGAAACTTTTTTTGCGTCAGGGATGTTGCTAGTGGTTAAGGCGTTAGCATTATGCCGATCGGTGTATGTAGTTACTTTCTGCCCATTTCTTAAGTCGCTCGTTGAAGAGAACGGAATAAATAGTTTCCAGGTTCATCCAAGACGGGAAGCAGCATAGAGCGAAGGGCATGGCATACAAGAGCGGGGTCAGAAACGGCGCTCTCAGAGCCCCAGACCCAGATTTATTGACTGAAAGCTTAGAAGCAGCTTGTTTCAAAAGGTTTTTCTGCTGCTATGGTTTGAATTCGAAACTGTCGGTAAAAAGCATGGCTAGGGGTAGACACCAACCGTGCGCACTGTCGGCTTAATACTATTGTACTAACCTTGCTATGGAATGATGCTTGCTGGAAGAAGAGTCTAAACGCGTGGCTCTTTCGATTATCAAACTGGTCTGGGGGCGACATTTGAGCAAATCAGATGTTGGTCCTCGCCGTTTGGGGACACCCCTTCCTCCCCGTGGCGATACCCACATGCGTGTTAGAAACTGCGCATCGGACGAGAGATTTAACACATCTTGGGACGCCGAACCATTCGCCGATGAAAGGAACTAAATTATGCATCAAATTAGCATCCAGCGTCGGTGGAATTTTGAGCTGCGCCTCTTGATGCCTACCACCAGGTGGCGACGCCGCTTTGTCCGCCGCCTCACGACATCAGGTGCACACACAACCCCCAACTTTGTTCGCCCCAAATCGTATGCGATCGGAACTTTTCAGTAAACAATACAACACATTTTTTACTAATCCTAATTATAATATAAATAACGGCGGCGGCGGAGCGTTTTCGGAGCCGGGCTGGCAGTGGAGGGGACGGCACGTTCCCACGCGTGAATGGCGCCGCCACAAAGGAGGCGGCCGGCGCGGCCCGGCTCTGTGGGGCGCCGCGAATAAAGAGCAGCAGCTCGCGGCAGGTAGGGCGCCCACCTGCCGGGGGCGGCGCACCAGTGCCATGCCGCAGTCCGGCCCGTGTGCAGACCAATTACGTCGGCAGCATCCAGCCCGCGGCAGGCTCGCGGCGGGCCCTGGCAGAGCGGCGGCCGCTCCCCCGCACGAGCTCCACACACAGCGACCACCTCCGGCCCGGCGCGTCATGCTCGGTCTCGACGGGGGCGGCGGCGCCAGGAACGTCGCCTACTGCAGCTCCACCTTCTGGCCCAGAGCCGGCTACCCATGGTAAGTGCTGCGGCGGGTGCGCACGGCGCGGAGGGGCCACCGTTCGGGCCTGTTGGACGGGTCGTCGGGGACTGGGAGAGGGGCGTGCGCAGGGGTTAAACGGCTGGCGTCGTCGTGCAATGCTCTGAGCGTCGTCGCAGACCGCTCTCCCAGTGTTCTTCTGGGGCTTCGACCACTGCTACCTCGATGCCGTTCTTCAGCGGTCATCTGATTCGTCATTGTGCCCCGTCCAGAAAGTCAGCAGGCAAAAGAGGTTGTCGTTCTCTGCCCAGAGGATCAACGGAGCTCGCCGTTGTGTCATGTCCAGAGGGTCAGCGGTGGAAAGCTATCCTACGATATCCAGAGGGCTAAAACAGGCCCCGGGGCGTCGTGCCATGCCCGGGGAGCTGGTCGCCACAATCCATGCTACTGCGTCGGAGGAGAGGGGGAGGTGGCAGCATGCATTCATGGGCAGAAATAGCCGTTTTTTTAGCCATACGCAATAGACTGCTGCCTATCGTAGCTAATCGTCACTTAATTGAAGACATTACGTTCAGCGTTGTGGTAACATATTCAGACATACAACGCCCACAAACACGCAAGCAAGCCGGCGCGGGCCTGGGCCATTGGTCTGTGGCCACTTGGCATCGCTCTCGGTAGGTGGCGCCTCGGGCGCCTCGGCGACTGGGAACCGCATGTCGGCCAGGATCTCCGCTGTACTGGGCGGCTGGGCGACCCCAAAAGCGTCTCTTACCACCTCGGTGCGCCACCCGGTGGTGTACAAGTTGCTGTCCTGTCTTGTGCGCTGCTTATGTCGCTCAGACATCAAGGAAAAACTCCCTGGTGAAAGAAACAGGCTCATCAGAGAGGCGCACTGTGTGAAGAACGTCTGTAGTGAGTTATCGGACACTAATTTTTCTGAGGAGAGCCATCTGAGACTCTGTCAAGATCGTTGAAATGAGTGAATAGCTTGCGCACTCCGGATATTCTTTGGTGCATAATCACAACTTCATATTTATTTTCGTAATTTCCTCATTTCATGTTCATTCCATCGCAGGATCAGAAGTTTTTATTTCTTCTTTGCTATGGTCAGCGGAAACAATCACCGCAATTGTCATTGGGTTATCAGATGCATTGCATCCATACTTCGTCAGGGCTTCATCAGACGCCACCACTGTGAACACGT